GTCTCTGCTTGAACACCAGCGAGGGAGCAGAGGGCAGGGGGGAACTCCTGCTTAGCAGGGAGTGGTGAGGAGGAGAGCGGGAAGCAGCCTGCAGTCTTTGCCAAAGCTGCAGCCAGGGAGCAGAGGGGAAGAACCAGCCCTGCTGGGATGCTGGGGGAGTCTGGTTTATCTTAAACTAGAGAATGATCTGGGACAGACACTGCATAAACTGATTTGACCCAAAACAGTTAAGTCTTATATTACATTCAACAAAATTCACCTCAAACTGGTTTCAACCATTTTCAAACTGGTTTATGTGTACTGAACGTTTGTTCTGTTACAGGTTTAAACCAGCTTCTGATCACTTAAATTGGTTTATGTGTAATATCTGTCCCTAGCCTTTAATTCAACACTAAGTAAGATTTCATGTTACATGAGGAAGAATACCATATCAAACTGATACTTCAGAAATTTACAGATCCAATTTCATTCCTAGTCAGAATTTAGGCCTGCAAAACCTAATTTGCAAAGTAACCATCACGGAAAAGGAACTCAGACAGCACCTAGTTTTACTTTGAAAATCAGAAGAGAAACATGCATGTTCTCTCTAAGAGAAAACTCATATTGTATTCAAATTTTATGTACATTTCCACTTATTTCCTGTGGACTCTCTCTAGACTGTATTCAAGATTTTCCTTCATCTACTTGCATTTTATTTATCTATTTAAATGACTTTCCCTATAAAATTATATTGCTCTTTTATTTCAGTACTTATTCACCATGGGTTCTAGAATTACTGTGAAACTAGCACTATTTCAGCAAAGTACTACTCTTTGGCTAAGTTTATTTTCCTTTTTAAGGGAAGAATCCCAGTAGAAAGTCTCACTTAATGAGCAAAAGATATTTTAAAAGCTAAACATACCCCATTTTAGGTCAAATAAAAACTTGTCTAATTTTCCTGAAAACTGTATTGGTTATGTGAAAAATACTGAACTTATTCTAAAAAGGGGAAAAGTCACATCTGTTACCCCCTTATAATTTCACTGGGTCATATAGAAACAATTTTAACTTGTTTATATCAAGGGCAGAGAATGTACAAAGTCAAATCTATTACCCTAAATACAGTTGCTATGAAAAAAGTGATACTGTGAAAGTTATGCTTTGAAGTTCTTCACTTACTCTGGATGTATCTGATTCATGCAGTTTACATCATAATAATATTCTATACCTGCTAACACTACAAACATTATAAGACCTCAAAATCATGACACACAGGCTCATATGTCATCATCAACAACAGCAATTCTGCAATCAAAGCTGGCAACTTTGGTGAGGACACACAAAACAATGATATGGACTTTTTTATGCAGGTATTTTGGTTTCCGGGCAGTAAAATAAAAACTGGGTTTTATTATTAAGTTAAGGAGATATAACTGTGAACATACGCAAGAAGCTGGTGAGTAGCACCAACATATTAATTTCCAAGAGCCACTGTTTGGATAGAAAAAAAGAAAGATAGTTAGCTGTATTAGTCTAGAGGCAGGCAGAAGGTAGGCCTGGATCCAAAATCACAGTTTAAAAGTTTAAAGGCAATTTGTCTTTTAAGGGTAGGATTCACTCTTAATTTGTTATTTCTGGAAAAAAAAAATATTAGACTTAACTTGACCCAGACAGAGAATAAAACTGCTATCCATGCAGATCTGCCAAATACACTTGACTGATTCTTCGCAACAGTACAGAGGTCTGTGCTTAAAACCTGTTCTTGCATCTCACATTTCTTAACTTTGTACTTTGTGAATGGATGATCTGCTCATTTGGGAGAAAGCCTGCCCTTTGTCTGCATTCTTAACACATTTGGGGTTTTGGATACTCCACAGTGTGGACTGAATATTATCCCAGGGCACAAAACATCCCACTATGTTACAATTTCATGTAATTTGCATGCTGGAAACATTTGGATATGTTCCTATAGGTTAGCATCATAAAATTCTTTATTGCTGGAAAGCAGGACTGGGGGTTGTGTGAGAAGCTGAGAAGATAAAAATTATCTACATACTGAAGAGGACAAGCCTTTACAAGGAAGCATTTCTCATATTTTGTAGAAGCTCCTGGGTCATTTATTAAAGGTTAGATCTTAGGAATTGTGTAATTCAAATGCTATAATGATGGCAGAAGCTAAGTGCTTTTTAATTTATATCCCAAAAGTAATGAAGTTCCAAAGTAATTTGTTTTCAAAGGTCATTTTAAGGATTGGACAAATAAAACAGTTAATAATCCTGCTGCAACAGGCTTTTTACATCTTTTTCATGCCCCCTCTACATGTGCGTAAAGGCATGATTTGATCTAATGTATGATTTATACAGTCGTGCCTCCTGCCATGCCATGCAAGCCTAGCAGGAAACACGACTGTGGGATCACACATTAGATCTAATCGCACCTTATTTCCAGTGCAGGAGGAGCCCAATCCTGGGCTCCCTCTGCATCTGCAACAAGCAGGCACCCAGTTAATTGTGCAATATCTGTAATGTGTAGAGGAGGCCTTAGTCATTTGGAAACCATGGTGTAATCATCACAACTAAGTAAGAAAATTAGTAAGTAATGCCAAACTTAAGCCAAACTGCCTCTTAAGAACATAGAATGTGTCAAGCTCCTAAGCACATATCAAATTTGCTTATGGCATTTCACAACAAATGTCACTATAAATTATGTATTCACTTAAGAGTTACAGGGATGGAAAATCCTGAGAAACTCTTAGGGGTTGAAATGTCCCATGTCTGATCTTACTACTATTTTGTTTGACAAACTGAAAAGACTGTATAAAGCCCTCTTTTAAAGTGATTAAATAAACAATCTTAGTCCTCAATGCAAAGATTAAGAAAGGAAAGGAAAGGAAAGGAAAAATCAAAGTCCTGAAAAAAATCACTTTTGAATATGCTCAGAAACAAAGATTTTTTAATAAATATAAGGAAGACCCACCCACATCCCACTTAAGAAGCATAAAAAATGGCATATTTCCAGCACATGTGATGAGGTGCACTTGATCTTGATTGGAGAATATGGGCCTAGGAAATTATAAACATAATGAAAAACAAGACTTTTACATCACTGAGGGGACAGAAATAATAAGTTTGCAATTGTGTGTGCAATTTTTCTCTACTCTGCAAATTCAATGTATTTTTTAAAACTCAATAAGTTTCTTTTTGTTTCCATTAGGCAGATCTAGAGATTACAGTGTAAGTGTGCTGCTGTGGTATTTGCAGAAAATGCTCTTGTATGTAACAAAAATATAAAAAGGTAGGATCTTATTCTGCCCAGTTCATCTCTTTGGGGTGAGCAGAAATCAAAGGGTCACTCAACATGGGTCATTCAAATGCTCACAATATTAAGCAAAGGAAGCTCCACCCTCCCTCCCTTAAAAAATATAGCAGATTAGTTTCAGGAAACTCCATTTATCCATTAAACTTTCCACAGCACCATGTTTCACAGAGCATTTTTTTTTCTTTCTGCTCTGTGACCAAAATGAACCTCTGATAGTCTAGACCTTATTTTGCCCTTACACTTAGGCATGACTACAGGTCTGTTTTTGCAGAAAAGAAAAGATTTGTCTGGTGAGGAAGTTGCAGATCAGGATTATAATGTTTTAGCAGAGCTCAGTGGTGGAATATTGTATACAGTTTGTTTGCTGTATACATAGCTTCATTTGGTCTCATTTTCCCAAATATCAAAAGTTAAACACAGTGTATATCATAAGTCAGATTCAACAAAAAGGTATAGACATGTATGATATAATTTCAGCCATATTATTTCATGCGTATCATTTGAGAACTGAGGATGTTAACTGAAAACAACATAAACCTTAAACATGGTTGAGTCTGTTGTATGTGAAGAAAATTTCTCAAGAAATTTTACTATTGAGAAAAATTGATACAAACCTCTTTATAGATTACTAGATGTATTCCACCTTTTTGGCACAGAAATCAGAGGGCTGCTATACACTTAAACACACTAAGATGGAGCCATTCCTTAACATTTGGAGTCCTAAAACTGAATCTTGCTCTTAGTACCTATTTGATGTACATTGATTATATACTGTATGAACAACCCATGCAATTTTTCTTCCTTGATAACAAGCATCTGGTAACACTTGCACTGAAGTATGTTATAAGCTATACAGGTGATCTCTTCATTTATTGTTCCTTAACCTGATAGCTCCTTTGTAGGTTCTTTATTTAATATACCTTGAATACATCCTTGTGTTAGGTGTTTAATGCAATTTTATTATTATATTGTTATAAAAGCTGCAATAAAGACTGTAAACAACCTCACCAGATGCAGAGTGTACTGCCTCAGAATTCTTGACTCTGGTGAGCATTTTGGACTGGATCCTGATCCACAGAGCATCAGAAACATTTCTCTTTAAAACAAGAATTAATACTTTGGGTGCACTGATATGAACGGTTTGCATTTGGTATCAGAGCTGCTGTTGGACCAGTCAAATTTCTCTAAGATAGAAAAGGAGTCTCACTAGAGACAACAGGACTCACTTAATTCATAAGGCAAGATTTGACCCAGAGTCAACGTCTGCAATGGAATATAGCAAATGACAGACTTCTCTGAAATACAGTTCATCTAAAGACCATAAGAAAAACAATACCCTGGTTACATCAGAGGAGTGGTCACATAACCCCTTCCACAAAAATGTGATTTGGGGAGTAACTGCCTGTTGGCAATACAAAACCAAAATGAAACTATGTTCTGTGCCTGTATGCAGAGATGCAGGCCAAATATCTGTGATTCCCCCTTCCCAGCAAGTGATCACTCTGCATCACCTAGTTCTGTTTATATTAAAATAAAGTCAAACTAATCATGAAAAATAAATAGATATTAACATCTGTAGAATAAGGAACCATGAGCCATAAAAAACCTCAATGGTTCCTCAATTCAAAGGCCATTTACCAAATTTTGACAAATGGTATAACTGGGGAGAGAAAGAAATGCCATCAGAGAAAGAACTGACATACCGTCAAACAGCCCATCAGGCTCTGCTCAAAAGGTCTCTGGAAAGCTCTGGGATCTCCACACCAGTCCAGGAGCTCTGTAGCTGCATTATGAAAGTTGGCAGGATTCTGTAAGTGCTGAAAAGAGGAGATTAAATGACATGGTAAATATATTATCACAATTGCTAGATGAACTCTCTGGATCACATTATTTCAAAGATAAAAAATTGTGACGCAAAAACATATGCTTTGGGAATTGGTGGGAATAGATGTAGTCATGTGGGGAATGAGCAGCAAACCAACTGTTTTCTCTCTCATCTGTATACTGGTTACTGTACCCTTGTTTCAGATGTGTTAGTTTGAAGTGAAACTCCAGATCCCATCGTCTAGAACAGAGCTGTCAAACTTCCTTCCTTCCCTGAGCCAGATGCAGACCATGGGGCTCCTTGCAGGCTGGAGCCCCAACTTCTGTCCAAGGCGCACAGGCAGCAACTCGAGTTCCCACTGTGTGGTATATGCTCTATACTGCAGCCTGAACTGCTGGTACGTGTCTCGTACCATGGCAGCAGTGCATAGGGTACATGGCAGAGGCAGCTCTGGCTCTGGTTCTTGTATGGAGCACACAGCCCAAGGTGACAGCAGGGCTGTTGGCCAAGGAGGCAGGGACGCTTCAGTGGTAATGGGTGAAGAAGCTGAATGATGATTGGGACTGTATCAGCTTTAGCTTATCCTTATGCTGCTGTCTGCCATGTCGGCCAGTGCCCAGAAGCCCAGGTTCTGTGGCAGACTCCTCCTTCTGGCCACAGCCCCCACATTCTGGTGGTAACCTGTTGGGCTAGATACAGTGGTTCTGCAGGCTATATCCAGCCCACAGATCATATACTTGACACCCCTGTTTTACAACTTCATGACTTGCACCAAGAGTTAACTGGTTCAAACTGGACACTGATATTGATTAGCTCCAACCTCAAGGAATTTTCAGACCTAATCTCAGTCTGCATTTAACTTCTTTGATTTGGGCTCAATTCTAACTTTTGGAGAGGGGGACACAGAGCCAGCAGTCCAGCAGTGCACTCAGAATATCTAGATTTCTGCCTCTGTCAGCCAACTGCAGGGCAGACCTGCCTGTCGTCAGTTTCACATCATGTACACCGAAGAGCTGACTGACTGTGGTGAGATCACGTTTGCTGTTATTTATTAAACATTTGTATAGCTGTAACTGAATGTGGCTGGGATAAAAGTTGTGAACTAGTAGAGGGCTGTGCTTCAGGATGACAACAGATAAGGTAAAAATGTGACATCCCAAAATTTTAACAAGGGAAGAAGGGGGCAGAATTCAACATGCCACAAAGCAAAAGCCTTTGTTTTAACTTTGAAACCTATTGAAGTTTAGTTTTCAGATATCTACCTAGGTACGAAGTGATGCCACGGTAAAAAAGAAAACATGCCTAAAAAAATCGCTGCACGTGGCGGCAGTGTGCACTGCCCAAACCCAGAACCTAGTCAGCTGGAGCAACACTCGGGCTGCCAACCAAGCTTCATGCTACAGGAGTGCCACAGCTGCAGCTCCCAGAGGTCCCCAGAACCCCAGGTAAGACTGATGGGGTCAGCACAGTTGCTGGCCTGAGCCTCCCCTACCCAACCTGGGGAGCTTCCTAGGGACAAGTAGCAGTGGCACACATTTTGCAGTATCCTTAAAAACTTGCAATTGTGGGGAGGGAGGGAGAGAAACACACAACTTAACCCCCAAACCTCACAATTTCTGTTTCTCACTAGTGCCAGAAAATACATGCATAAGAGAGGCCGCTGGAAGGCCTGTTGTTAAATTCTCAGCCAGTCATTCCCAGAATTAACATATAAATCCAAGAATTACCATTTTCAGAGGATGATACTGGCCTTCCCTGATCATCAAAAGGGGTAAAACAGGTGCAAACTACCTGTCCCCTGCTATCTCCAAATAGTCACGGTTAAGTGAACTTTCCACTAACTTTTTGTCGCTTTGCTTTATAGATTTTGAGTAGAAGGTTGAGATTAACAAGGAGCTGATGGACAGAAAAGGAGAACTGAAATGGTACTACATACTGAGGGATTTTGTAGCAGACAATCACAGCTTTGGAGACTAGACGAAAGCTTTACAAATGCTCCCATTCTCTCATTTTTCTTCCTGCTATGAGCAGCATCAATAACCAAAACTTCTTTCCTTATTGGTGGCTGGTTAGATTTCTTATTACAGAGGCCATAAAATATTCTACTTAATGAAAACAGCAGATCCAGCAGACCTGACAGAAAAGTGATGATTCAAAATGTTTTGCCCTGCCAGCAAATGTTCAGATACCACACCACAACAGTGGTTTTAAAAATTATTATTAATTCTAAAGATTTGCTTATTTCCTTTCCTAAATATATACTTTTAAATTTCATGTAAACATTCTCTCAAACTTGCTGTATAATTATAGAGTGCCAGCTCTGATTATGTTTGATGTTTTACCCAAAGTCCCAACTATTAAAAATTAGAGCATATGCAGGAAACTCAATTTCCTTTGGGGGGTGGGGGACGGAAGCTCCTAGATCTTGGATTTGCTTACAAAAGCCTGAAAGCGGGATCCGGAAAGATAAAAATCCTAAAGACAATTAAAAAGAAACCACAAGTTGTTATCTTTAATATGTTCTTTATTTTAAGCTAATCTCATAATTTTGCAAAGGGGTTTTGGCTCATCATTCTTGGCTATCTGGGGTTGGCAATACTTTAATAATTAGTCCCATATCCAAACTGTTCATATTAAAGGCTTTCAGTTCTCTCTGCCTTTACTCTCCTTCCAGGTAAGCCAAAGACATTAGCTCCAGTACCAATGAGTGAAAACAAGTCTTCTCCCATAGCAGGGTGTGACAAAGCTCTTAGGCCTGTGACCTTTTGGACTGTGTTATAATACTCTTTACTCTATGGCAGCTCTTTGTTAGAGGGTTTTGTAGTAACAAGAAATGGGTGGTATCTGAGGAGTAGATTTGCCAAACAATTGCAGAACTGAAACGCAAATAGGCATTATGCAATGTGGTATCTCTCTCTTCTCTACAAATATGGAGCCAAACATACACCTTTGTCCAATTAAATAGTTTCCTCCAACCTTTCTTTGGCAGCTGAATAAACAGTTGATTTTTTGTGAAGTCAAAATTGTTCAGATACTGATGAGAATTAAGAGGCCCCAACTACACAAAGATAAGGTGGGAGTTTTTTATGCCCTCTCTAAACAGACACCAATGAGTCAGGTAGTTTGGGTTACTGGTGCTGCATAGCTGGCAGAAAAGTAAGAGACTGAAAGCATTTGAAAAGGCTTCATATGATCTCCAAAGCTGTGGTCATCTGCTGCCAAATCTCTCAGTACATAGTACTACTGCCATCCTTTTATTCATGGAAAAAAACTAAAGCAGAGTCAGCTCCTTATAGTGCACTATACCCTGAGTGCGGCTTCCGTTATACTGAATCCAGAAAAGTATACAGAAAGTGCGAATGGTGTGCAAAATGGAGTGAACCAAACAGTGCAAATCACTCATTGTAGTGACAGCACAGATCCCCCACATAACCTTAGCTGAGCAACCTCAACAAAACAAAAAGCATTATAGCCTACTGTGGCACCTATTTAAGTATGCACAATGTTAAAAAAAAAATATTCTTTTCCAAGTGTAAATGACCAAAGTAAATTTATTTTATTTTTAAGACTACATATATTTGTTCATTTTACTTGGCTATGTCATCGCATAACCTATCTTGAAGTCAAGCCACCAATTCAAGTTGAATGGTTACAATGACTCCAATTAATTTTGTGTTTTGCAACTCTGTCAAGTTTCCTCTCATAGACTCATTGAATTTCAACTGCTTTTGTCTAGTCAAGTATAGAAAGAGTTTTATTATAAGCGTTGCATTACAAGTTGGGTGCTTATGAATGTACAGAATATATTGAATATCTGAACAACTACAATTTTGAACAGCATCTGGAACTAGAGAAAAGTTGATGCCTGAAATTTTTCAGTATTGTGGATGGTAAAGGTTTTTTGTGTGTATGTGGGTACATGTGGAGATTTTATAGGAAATCCATTAAGACACAAAGCAAACGAAATACACACACACACACACAGAAGAGAAATCACATCCTAGTCATGCAAGAAAACACTCAAAACTACTACTGATTTTTATTAACGGATGGCTGCAGCACTTGTTCTGGCTAACACAGTGAGGATGAGACGAGCACTGAAGAAATTCCCATCCTTACAAAGAAGGACTTGCAAGACTTGGTAATGTACTCAGCAAACAAGATATTAACATACTGGCTACAGTCATGGTCCAAAACTTCTACAAGGTAAACACAATGTTTAACCTGTGGCTAAGCCATCTCTCAGTGCAGCATCTTTAAGAAACATTCGACATTTATGGTTCAGTTTTTTTTAAATTGTCAGCAAAACAAACAGGAATAGGATCTGGCCTAAAAAGTCTTGTTTGAAACCAGGTCCTATCTATACTGGGCAATTCTGATGACTAACCTTGTTTACATATAATTTAGAAAATGTTGAGGGTGAAACAATTAAAAACAGCCCCATCAGCCAAAAGGAGTAGGGAAAAAGCTAAATTTAACAACTATGGAACCTAGACTGGAGTATACAATATTTTTTTAATCTGATTTGGCTGGCCAAGCACGTTATAATTTAATTTGCTTACAACCACAGTGTCATTTGATGTTTCTTAATCAACAACAATGTACCTACCACTATGAGAGACAATTGTGTCAAGGAAATTATGTAAAACTCTAAGAATTAAGATTTACGTACAAGACTGTCTTCAACATCATTTGATTTTACTGTAAAGTAAGGTTTAACTAAATGTCACAATTTCAGTATTTCAGAACCTTCCAGATTTAAAATGGTTTTCAGAACTTCAAAAAATCATGTATTTATTACATCTGCTCCAGGTGATTTAATGTAAATAAAAAAATAAAGCATAAAAATTCGGTAGCATATTTTTGTATGTGATATATAAGGTTATGGCAGAGGTCACCAGATGGTGCTGTTAGACACTTAATATTTTTCAAATATTTAGTCTTAAAGGAAATGTGGTGTTAATGAGTTTCCAAATCAGTTTTGTTCACGGA